GAGACAGAGAGAGAGAGAGAGAGAGAGTGTGTGTTAGAGAGAGACAGAGAGAGAGAGAGAGAGAGAGTGTTAGAGAGATACAGAGAGAGAGAGAGTGTGTGTTAGAGAGATACAGAGAGAACAGGAAAGAAAGAAAGAGCGAGAACAAACAATCCTCTTTACAATGTGTGTTGTGTCTCTTGTAGGGGGGAACACAGACATCCTGTACCGGGAGTGGTATAAGCCAATGGTTTGGTTTTGGATCTTGGTCGGCTTGGCGTACTTTGCCGCAGTGCTGAGTATGATCGGGGACTGGCTTCGTGTGATATCCAAGAAGACGAAAGAGGAGGTATGACAAAGCAGCACAGAGTGAGGAAAGCTCCAATATCTGCCGTCATCCTTAAAATGACATTAAACCTTGCTCTTATTTTTTATTTGTATGGAAGGGAGGCACAGTCGGTACGCAGACCTGTTGTTCTTTTAAAAAAAAAAGTTTCTATTCCTCGTTTTCTAGTGGGTCCCCACAGAGCTCTCCCCCGCCCCCTGCACGGGTGCCTCCATCAGCTAATCAGCTGCTGTGGAGACACCAGTGTGTGTGCGTTCCCCGCTGTGCCTGCAGTAGCTGTGTGCGTCCAGGCCACGCCCCTCCTCTCCGCACAACAGGTTGATTGACGGCAGAAGGAGCCTCCTTATTATTACGATACCTTTTATCCCCAGATGTGCTCCCTAGTAGTGTACTAACTATACTGACAGCTCTCCTGCTGCCTGTCCCTGATTTAGGAATACTTAAGATACTGCTAGCTGCTACAGAGAGAGGTTGCTGGGGGGACATCAAAATTTTGCTATGGGGCCCCATGATTTGCAATTATACCCCTGATTCACGTTTACATATTCTTGCCAAGCAGTAAATAAGTTATAACTTTTGTCTGCCAGGGACATATCCTCTAAGTCTGGTCAGTTAAAGGTGACTGCAAGGGATGTATCCTGTACGTCTTGTCAGTCAAAGGCTTGAAAAAAGTGAACATGTTTTAAAACACATCACTCCACTGCGCTGTACATAGTAGACTCGATCACTTCTACAGACCCCCTAGAAGCAGGCATGGGTTTGTCCAAATGCATTCTTGGCCCCCTTCGGCTGTTGACATGGCAGACTTGGGGGACCGAGTCTTGGGGGCTCCACACCACAGCTTGCATTTTATGAATGGGTGGTAAAACACAGGCTGAGGTGTGGAGTAACCTTGCAGAAAAAAGCGGAGAAGCCCCCATAAGCAACAGTTACCCAGATGCAGAAAAATAGCCAGCAGGAGCAAATTCTGTTCTGATGAGTTCTGCGTTAGGCACAGCACCGTGTCAAAGATTCCCCGAGAAAGCAATGCGCCCAGCACGGAATGCGTCAGTGCAGAATTTCTTCCTGCTGGCTATTCTGATAAAGAACGACAACTCGGTGTGCAGTGTTCCTGTGAGATGGGAAAAGTGATTACTTTTACCTTCAAAGATAAGCCGATCCAGCACCTGAGGGGTGACTATGGAGAGTGGAGTCTAACCTGACCGGGAGCGGCATGTGGAAAGTATAGGAGATGTAATTGCTTGTTTGACTTCTTCCCCGACAAAGAGAAGCCACGAGAGGGGACGACAAAGCAGCTTCTAAGTACAAAAAAAGATATCAACATCCTTTTGTATCTCCAGATCAGTTTTAATGTTTCGGAATTTGCAAAAAATGTGTTTCTGGCTATTTATAACAATGGAGTGAATTTGTGATACAATTGTTTCCATTTCACTCCTGGGGTGGGAAGGGGCTCGGGGGATTTGGTTTAGTGCAGTGCAGTGATTATCAAACTTCACCAGACCAGAGCTCGGGAAATTCTTCCGAAACCTTGAATGGCCCAAGAGTAAAATAAACATTTATACTCCTGCAATAAAAGTACGGTACGGGAATGCAAAATAAGGATTTACTATGTATTGAAAATGAATTAATTTGTCAGAAATACTGTATGAGGGAATAGAGACGATGACAAAGAATGGCCACCCAAATCATTGGTGTCAGTGGGATTGTGGCCCCTCGGGGCAAATAGCCCTCACAATATTGGTGTCAGGGGCATTGTGACCTCCAGAGGAGAATAGACCCTCAGTTCACTGGGCTTAGTGGGTGTCAGTAGAATAGTGAAACCCAGAAAAATATAGCCCTTCAAGTCAGTGGAATAATGGCCCCTAGAGGAGACTAGCTCCTCAAATTATTGGTGTCAGTGGAATAGTGGCCCTTAGAGGAGGCTAGCCCCTCAAATTATTGGTGTCAATGGGATAGTGGCTTTCAGGGGAGAATATCCTCCTAAATCATTGGTGTCAGTGGTGGCGCTTAACTTGACTTAGGACAGCAGCCAGCGTTGCCTGAAGATGAAGGCTGACGATCACACACTGTCCACTGGTTCCTCCTTTAATGATGTCTTTTTATCTGCAGGCTCAGGGGTGCTGCCAGGTGCCCATGGAGTAATTTCATTCCAGGGTACTCTAGCTTTTTTGGTGATGCAGTGGGTAAAGGCCCACCACAGGATCCTCTGGCTCTCCAGCTGGCCAGTATACTCCTGGTTGTCAGCATTAGCTGTTTGAGCAGACAGGAAGTTGTGGCTTAGCAGAAGCTTGACCACAACCCACCAAAAAGAAGGCTGTGATCCAGCTGGAGGGAGTCCATGGTCTGGCAGCATGGAGGCCACCGCTTGGCAGAAGGGAGGTCATGTCCCAGCAGGAGGAAGGCCACAGCCCAGCAGGAGGTAGGTCATGGCCCGGCAGAAGGGAGGTCATGTCCCAGCAGGAGGAAGGCCACAGCCCAGCAGGAGGTAGGTCATGGCCCGGCAGAAGGGAGGTCATGTCCCAGCAGGAGGAAGGCCACAGCCCAGCAGGAGGTAGGTCATGGCCCGGCAGAAGGGAGGTCATGTCCCAGCAAGAGGAAGGCCACAGCCCAGCAGGAGGGAGGCCATGGCCTGGTGGTTGAAAACCACTAGATTAGTGGATTCAGGTTCCTGTGCTACAAATAGAACTTGGACTTTGAATTGCAAAAACATTACAAAACAAATGGGCAGTGATGGGTTCTAGAGTGGAGCTTATATATGTAATGTTCATGTATAGCCAAAATGTCTTAATGTTGGATAGAGTGGGGCAGCGAAGGATTAGAACCCATTTCATTTGTTTTATTGCTAGCTATGTCCCCATTGGGGAGATTCATACTATTTGTCCTGGTGGTGACCATTGTTACTGAGACAGGAAGTGACGGAAAAGCCAAAATGTATCAGTTGTCACCAGAACAGAGAGGAAATCTTCTAATGGGGAACATACGTTCCAAGGACATCTTTCTGATGTCCTTGGAACGTAGACATTGTAGACATTTCCTCAGGTCTTGGAGACAGGAAGTGAAGGGATATCTATCTAACGGGACACAGAGAGCAAATAATAAACAACAGGAGTTCCGACCTATCCCTACTCTATTAAAAACAAACAACTGTTGGCTACACATTCACTTTAGGCAGATGATGTATCAGGGCTGTGTATGCATTTTGCATCTTTTCTGGGATACTACTTCCAATTGGTCCTCCTGCTGAGATACGTCTCAGATTGATCCCCGTGTGCATTCTTATCAGGCCGTATGATATGGATGGCGTCTTGTGCAGAGATAACATATGTCCTTGGTAAAGCCAATCAAAGGTTTTAATCAATTTCCAACTAACTAACAGGCGGAGCGATATGAATAGGAGGCGTTTTTGCTAATTTCAGGTTCAAGCTAAAGATTTACAGTCTAATGATTTTAGAAGTGAGGAGGACAAAGGATCGCACAGGGACATCTGTCTCAGCCAGCTGGTGGTGCTATTTGTGATCCCCTGAGAATGGATACTTTCCTTTATGTATCATCGATTTCATCCCAGGGGTATTACTGGGCCTGAGTACATTACATATCCAACAAACACAGAGACCCCACCACAGTCACACACTATTATCATACATTTATATAGCTCTGACAATCGGTCTCTGTACAGAGGAGCTTGCACTCCGATGTCCCCCCGACAGTCACACAGTTTTATTATTAGCATACATTTACATAGCACTTCCTGGAGCATTGGATTCCCATGTCCCCCATGCTCTGTGGTTCCATCCTCTGCCCTGCACGGCACTGCTGAGACTTGTAGTGCTGCAAACATCAGAAAACAATATCAGCTCATGGTGAGGACACAGCAGTTTGACACTCCAGGAGCGTTGAATGCTGGAGGCACTGAAGGGGGCTGCAGCACTGGAATGAAGGGGAGAAGTAGGACACATGGGCCGAAGGAGAGAAGGGAATCAGGGCTTGTTCACACCAAATGCAGACCAGATCTGCATGAGTTTCTGCACACGCAGTACAGTGTGTTTTGCAGCGTTTTTGCTGCATTTTTGACGCGTTCGGGCCCATTTAGCCTACAATGGGCTTTCAGTGCGTTTGCATGTGTTTTTGATGCGTTTGCACGTGTTCCAGTGGGTTCCAGAGCAGGAAAAATAGGGCTTGCTGCAGTTTTTTTTTACATGCTCTGGAACAGAACGCTGCGGTTTGAACTAGAGCCCAAAATACCATTGGAATACATTGAACGCAGTTTTGATGCGGTCTGTAACTGCTCTGCTCCTGGAATGCGCTTGGTGTGAACTAGCCCTCAGAGCTCTTCTCTTGCAGGGTCCTATTATTTGGATTTTTCTTCCCCTGACACGGTCACTTTAAAGTAACAGCACAGAGAGAAATTCAATCTGTGAATACAGTAAGGAATATTCTCCTTAGTCCCGTCTTCAGAATGTAGAGTGCGGGCTTCTGTCTTCCTCGATTTCCCATTGTGTAAGCGAAGAAAGCCGGCGGTCTCTGTGTCCGCCATTGATTTTATGGCACTTGGTATCTGTTGGGTCTCTTGGATATTAAGCTCTTATTACACAGCAACTGACATACGCAGTGAGGATCCTTCATTGATTCTGCAGGCCGCACATTATTCCTGCGAAGGTAACGGGAGAGCGGGATTGACGGGGGAGAGGGCTCTCCGCTGTATGCACGCAACACTTATCTTCTGATTATTAAACACTGGCATGTCCCTCCAGCGCGCCTCCGACATGGCGACACGAGAAATACTGCAGAGCTCAGGAGCGTTCAGACTGCTGATCTGTTTGTGTTACTTCATTGTTCTGTTATTGCTCTACAGCCGGGATGAGGTCGGCCACACACATTACATTACAGCTTGGTAGCACAAGGGGGTGATCTCTTGTATAGCGGTTGGCAAATCTAAAGGAGATTGTACAGATTGTTATAGGTGTGTGGCCTGTTTTAATACCTCTGTCACACATGGTGTCTCCAAGACAGGAAATGCAGGCATATCTAATAGAGGTTACATAGTTACATAGTTACATAGTATTTGAGGTTGAATAAAGACATAAGTCCTATTGTGTGTATGCATTTATGAGCTGGTGTGTGCGAGTCCATGTGTGATTTTGCTCTTAGGCATACCTGTACCCCTGAATGTTACGGTCTCCCAGGAACTCGTCCAGGAGTCTCTTGAATGATTCCACACTCTTAGCTGAAATCACTTCCTGTGGCAGCGAGTTCCAGACCTTAACCGATCTAACTGTGAAGAACCCCCTGCGCCCTGTGTGGTGAAATTTTTTTTACACCAATTTTTGGTTGTGCCCTCTGGTCTTTGTTACAGAGCTGACCGTAAACAGTGGGTTCATCCTTCCCCACTCTATCCAAATCTAACAAAATATTTAGCTGGAGTAGGAAAGTGTGATATTTAAGGCCCAATAGCCACCAGACCTAGTGCACTAAGTAATGAGCACACAGTAACAGACCTGGTCAGACATGCCCCTCCTCTTTCTCTGCAGTACAGGTCTTTTTGAGGACATTTATGATGAGGGGTGTGACTGTTACTCAGCTCTGCTGGCAAAGACCACTAAAGGACTAGTACTGATACTCCCTGCCACAAACAACCACAACTTTCAGAAGCTTCTGGTATCATCAGGGAGTATGCCTATCTGAGAGGCTATGATGGAAGCTTCCTTTAGCCGATTCCCATGTTGCAGTCTAGATTTGAGACAGTCACCTCTCACAGCCATGCTGAAAGATGATTACTATGGCCCTTTAGAGTTAGAGAGTGGCATGCTCCCCTGCACTGCTGGTAGGGTGATGAGGCATTCCAGGCTCTGAGAAGACAGATGGAGGCCAGAAGAGGAATTAAGTGAAAACAATGAGGAACCACACAAGTTCCACATTCACATTCCTCTTCAGATTCCTCTCTGGCTCCTGTTGCACCTACATTTCCTTTAATCCAATATTCCTGACCTGTGATTGGCGTTGCTTGCTGTCAGCTTCCTGGCCGGCTCGACACGTGGAGCTGCGAACACGCCCGAGCCCATCCTTAGGCTCAATGAGTGCTCAAGTTTACAAAAGGTTGAAATAAAATGAAATGTCGCTATAAAATTATAAGTTGATGTTTCTTCTTCTCCTTTAGGTCGGGGAAATTAAGGCTCACGCCGCAGAGTGGAAAGCCAACGTGACTGCAGAGTTCAGGGAGACCCGCAGGCGGCTGAGCGTAGAGATCCATGACAAACTCCAGAGAGCGGCCACCATAAGAAGCATGGAGCGCCGGAGACTGGGGCTGGACCAGAGAGCTCACTCTCTCGACATGCTTTCCCCAGAGAAACGCTCGGTCTTTGCCGAGTTAGAGAACGGGCGCTTCAAGGCCTCGTCCCAAGAGAGCATCAACAACAAGCCCAACAACCTACGACTCAAGGGGGTGGAGCAGTTCAACGCTTTGCACGGCCAAGGCCTCTCAGAAGACAACATCATCAACAGGTTTGGCTCCAACTCTTCCAAGCTGACCAAGAGGAAAAACAAGGACCTGAAGAAAAACCTCCCGGAGGACGTGCGGAAAATTTACGAGAACTTCCGGAAGTATTCCGTGGACGGAGAGAAAAAGGAGGGCGACCCCGACCGGCTGTCCACCTCGGACACGGCCACCCTCTCCGACTTCATTCAGCACTCAATCATCGAGAACGGCTCGGTACCTAGCGAAACCAAAGACGAGGAGCACGAGGACAAAGCATTACTTGAAGAACGCAACTAACGGGGCGCGTTTCAAGGTCATCGCTCCGTCACGGCGCGACACAGCTGTGGGCTGCAATTTGGGAGTGACTGTGAACTTTTCTTCTCCATCCTGGAGCCCAAAGTTGGTCGGCCCGTTGACGAAGCAGTGACCTTAGACCCCTTCTGTGCTGGGAGGGGGAGGTCAAACGTCCCGTTGCCTGTTCCTCCAGCACGGAAGGGGTTAACCCATCGCCCCGATGTAAAAACTTTTGTTCACATACAAGAAAAAAAAAAAATCCGACAACAATCGGTTACATTTATGGAGTTCTTGAGACATGTGCCTTATGCGGATTTTTCAATTACATGGAGCTCTGTAAACTGCATCGGTGGAAATATACTGTGCCATAAATGACTGCCAAAAATAAAGAACTACATTATAAAAAACCCTACAAAAATGAAAGCTACACGGTATCGCCAATTGGGAACGATCGCGTCACGCGTAAAACTTCAGAAGTGAACAGCGCGACCGGGAACGCGAAAAGGAATTATTTCAACGCCGACGTGTAATTCAAAAAACGTTGTGTGCGGTCTTCTGGGCGAATAGATAACACACATGATATATGCATTTTTTTGGGCGGCACATGGGTAGAATAAGGAACGCGCATAGACAATATATATCTCATCTTTCTAACCTCCAGATAGGGCCGGGTTCCATCCCAGCCATAAAAACATCAGCACACATCCAGAATCAATTCGCCATCAGCTTTTTAATCAGAAAACGAGCACCGTGGCAGTTACCATTACCAATGAAACTACCAGAAGCTGTGACGGCGCTGCGACTCAGCCGTAGACTGCGCCAAATCTGACGCCCAGATGAAATAGAAAGATGTCAGTTTTAAACAGAAAACAAGAGTTCATCATGGGGGGGGAGGGGTTTGTTTTTTTTATAACTTACAGACACTTTATATTTTTTCGGGGGAAGAAATTTCAGCTCTCAGTGCCGTACAAGACGGGGGAGCAGAGGAGCGGCTTGCAT